TTAACCTTTGACCTTGTGACCCCAAAATCAATAGGGGTCTTCTACCTTATATGGACAATCATCCTAAGAAGTTTGAATATTGTGGGCCAAATGTAACTTAAGATATGCTCCGGAAACTGTTTTCAATTTTAAGGTAATAGTGACTTTGACCTGTGTAAACCCCAAAATTAATAGGGGTCTTCTACCCAATATGGACATCATCCTATGAAGTTTTTTAAAAAGAGGGGCCAAATATAACTATGTTATGCTCCAGAAACGATTTTCAGTATTAAGGTAATTGTGACCTTGACCTTTGACCTAGTGACCCAAAATCAATAGGGGTCCTTTGCCCAATATAAAAAAGGACAAATTATCCAATGAAGTTTGAATATTGTGGGCCAAATGGAACTTAAGTTATGCTTCGGAAACTGTTTTCAGTATAAAGGTAATAGTGACCTTGACCTTTAACCATGTGACCCCAAAATCAATAGGGGTCTTCTACCTAATATGGACAATCGTCCTATGAAGTTTGAATATTGTGGGCCAAATGGAACTAAAGTTATGCTCCGGAAACTGTTTTTAGTATCAAGGTAATAGTGACCTTGACCTTTAACCTTGTGACCACAAAATCAATAGGGATCTTTTGCATAATATGGACAATCATCCTAAAAAGTTTGAACATTGTGGATCAAATGGAACTTAAGTTATGCTCCGGAAACCAAATTGCTAACGGACAGAAACTGTTTTCAGTTTTAAGGTAATAGTGACCTTGACCTTTGACCTTTTGACCCCAAAATCAATAGGGTTCCTCTACCTGATATAGACAATCATCCGATGAACTTTGAACATTGTGGGCCAAATAGAACTTAAGTTATGCTCCGGAAACCAAATTGCTTACGGACGGAAAATTGCTAACGGACGGAAACTGTTTTCAGTTTTAAGGTTATAGTTACCTTAACCTTTTGACCCCAAAATCAATAGGGGTCTTTTACCCAATATGGACAATCATCCTATGAAGTTTGAATATTGTTGGTCAAATTGAACTTAAGTTATGCTCCGGAAACTGTTTTCAGTATCAAGGTAATAGTGACCTTGACCTTTGACCTTTTGACCCCAAAATCAATAGGGGTCTTCCACCTAATATGGTCCATCATTCTATGAAGTTTGAACATTGTGGGCCTAATCGAACTTAAAAAATGCTCCGGAAACCAAATTGCTAACGGACAGAAACTGTTTTCAGTTTTAAGGTAATAGTGACCTTTGACCTAGTGACCCAGAAATCAAAAGGGATTTTCTACTTAATATAGGCAATCATCCTATGAAGTTTGAACATAGTGGGTCGAATGGAACTTAAGTTATGCTCAGGAAACTGTTTTCAGTATCAAGGTAATAGTGACCTTGACCTTTAACCTTGTGACCCCAAAATCAGGGGTATTCTGCCCAAAATGGACAATCATCCTATAAAGATTGAACATTGTGGGCCAAATGGATCTTAAGTTATGCTTTGGAAACTGTTTTCAGTATCAAGGTAATAATGACCTTGACCTTTGACCTTTTGATCCAAAAATCAATAGGGGTCTTCTACCCAATATGGACAATAATCCTATGATGTTTGAACATTGTGGGTCAAACGGAACTTAAGTTATGCTCCGGAAACCAAATTGCTAACGGACAGAAACTGTTTTCAGTTTTAAGGTAATAGTGACCTTGACCTTTGACCTTTTGACCCAAAAATCAATAGGGGTCTTCAACCTAATATGGACAATCATTCTATGAACTTTGAACATTGTGGGCAAAATAGAAACCAAATTGCTAACGGACGGAAAATTGCTAACGGACGGAAACTGTTTTCAGTTTTAAGGTAATAGTGACCTTGACCTTTTGACCCTAAAATCAATAGGGGTCTTCTACCCAATATGGACAGTCATCCTATGAAGTTTGAACATTGTGGGCAAAATAGAACTTTAGTTATGCTCCGGAAACCAAATTGCTAACGGACGGAAAATTGCTAACGGACGGAAACTGTTTTCAGTTTTAAGGTAATAGTGACCTTGACCTTTTGACCCCAAAATCAATCGGGGTCTTCTACCCAATATGGACAATCATCCTATGAAGTTTGAATATTGTGGGTCAAATTGAACTTAAGTTATGCTCCGGAAACTGTTTTCAGTATCAAGGTAATAATTACCTAGACCTTTGACCTTTTGCCCCCAAAATCAATAGAGGTCTTCCAACCAATATGGACCATCATTCTATGAAGATTGAACATTGTGGGCCAAATGGAACTTAAGTTATGCTCCGGAAACCAAATTGCTAACGGACAGAAACTGTTTTCAGTTTTAAGGTAATAGTGACCTTGACCTTTGATCTTTTGACCCCAAAATTAATAGGGGTCTTCTACCCAATATGGACAATCATCCTATGACATTTGAACATTGTGGGCCAAATAGAACTTAAGTTATGCTCCAGAAACCAAATTGCTAACGGACGGAAAATTGCTAACGGACGGAAACTGTTTTCAGTTTTAAGGTTATAGTGACCTTGACCTTTTGACCCCAATATCAATAGGCGTCTTCTACCCAATATGGACAATCATCCTATGAAGTTTGAATATTGTGGGTCAAATTGAACTTAAGTTATGCTCCGGAAACTGTTTTCAGTATCAAGGTAATAGTGACCTTGACCTTTGACCTTTCGACCCCAAAATCAATAGGGGTCTTCCACCCAATATGGACCATCATACTATGAAGTTTGAACATTGTTGGATCGTAGCGTAACAATATTTACAGTAACCAACCACAAAATATATCGTACACTGCAGTCCCTATACTTTCTACTAGTGCCCATTATCCTATATTTTTTACAAAAACTGGCAAACCAAAAAAATATCAAAAAGGGTCCATTGCATGTTACAATTAAATACAGGCACCTAAAGAACTTTATTGCTGACAAATTTTATGTGACCTTTCAAAGCAACAATGGTCTATCATTAATATTTTTAATGATCCAGATGCTTTAGATACTTTTAATAAATTATTTTTAGAAACTCTTTACGAACATGCCCAATACAAACAAGAAACGTGTAAAACATAAAAATCAAGCTGAATGGTTCAATGAAGATTTAGCAAATGCAATGCGTAATACGGACTATACAAAAAAGAAACGTGATAAATGTTGAAAATTTATAATACTGGAAATATCAAGTTAAAAACATACAGCAAAAACGAAATTCTTTATTCAGGAAATCAACTCAATAAGAAACATAATTAAAAAAAACTTTGGAAAGTTTTTCTGGCATATATACACACTGAGAATGGCATACCAATTACTGATCCAAAGCTAACAGCAGAAACGTTTAATACATTCTTTAATTTGCAAATGTATTTAAAAAAAAGCTGAAAATATAACAGAATTATCACATGAAATGAAGACTGCATTACAAAATTTTCTCCTATCAAAAATACTAAAGAATCACATAAATTTGTAATACCCTTTGTTGAACAAAGTTATGTAAAACAAAACGATTTTGATATTGCAAAAGCAACTGCCTTAGACGAAATTGGTGCCAAATTTCTAAAAACAACTGTAGTTGTCATAAATGAGCCAGTTTGTACCATAATAAATCTATGTATCAAAAATGGAAAATTTCCAACTCTTTTAAAACAAGGTAACACAAATCTACAAAAAAGGGACAAAGACAGACAAAAACAATTACAAACCAATTTCAGTACTTACACTTATCTCTAAAATATTTGAAAAACATGTATCAGACCACTGAAAACTCTTTAGAAAGAACTAATTTACTTTAAACTGCTCAATCAGGTTTCAGGTCACACCATTCATGCGAGACTGCACTTATAAATGTAACTGATAACTGGATAAATGCACTAAACAATAGAAAACTTGTTGGAACCGTTTTTCTAGATTTATCAAAGGCATTTGATTAAGTTAATCACAATGTCCTGCTCGAAAAACGACCATTCTAACATCTCTCATCACAGGCCATTACTTGGATCAAATCATATCTGTCAGACAGGTCACAAAAAGTGTGCCGGGTGTTTTATCTGAATCTGCTGACGTTGTCTCAGGAGTACCCCAGGGCTTAGTTCTGGGACCCTACTTTTCTTGATATATATAAATTACCTTCTCTTTTTATGAAAAGATCTAATTGTAATACTTTTGCACTTCGTTAACTTCTATAGGAAATACTGTACAAGAAGTCAATGAAAATCGTTTTGATAATGTTACCACATGGTGCATGCATAACTCAATGGTACTCAGTGCACTAAAACAAAAGCTATGGCTCTGTTTATTAGGAATACAAAATTATAAAATATTGCTTCACCTACACTGTATCTTCATAACAAAGAAATAGAATTTACAGATACAGGAAAAGTACTAGGTGTCTATGCTGACAACAATCTTAAATGGGAAACTCAAATTATGTACAAAAAAGCTATTCTCGTGTATAAATCCATAAATGAGTCATCTTTTTCTAATTATATAAAAAATAAATTTCAAATGGTAAATGACACACACAACTTCAATTTAAGATCTGTTCAAAATGAGAAACTGGTCATACCTAAACCAACAACTGGGTACTTAAGGCAATTATATGATTATTCTGGTCCTAAAATATGGAATGACAACGCAATTCATATTCGAAATTCAGATACTTTGAAGAAATTTCAAGCCACATATATTAAGTGGCAATTTCTAATCAAATGATTGTACATTTTGTTGTAATGATAATGCCACACAAGATGGAATGTAAAATATTTTGTTTTTACAATTTATTTTTATCTTTCTTGTACAATAATGTATTTTCCATGCCGAGGTTATGAAAATGTGGCTTCTTGATGTCCTTTTGTTCTATTTATATATATATCTATATATATATGTTAATTAAAATGTGCAATGTATAATATTGTTACGTATATAATGAGGCCCACATGGAAACTCGGGAAACCGTATGTTTAAGCCTCATTAAATAAAGTCGTTACATCTACTAACTTACTTACCTTTGATATTAAATTGATTCAGGGGTGGCATGCCAAACATTGGATACCCAAGAGAATAACCATAAGTTATCTGTCAAGGTCCACCAGGTCCAAATGGAAAATTCATCCCTTGACCACGGCCTTGACCTTCCTGTGGATCATGACCTTGATCGTGAAAAATAACGCACGGTCTTACGATAATCGTACGATTAAGGAGATCTGCGACGATTGATAAGACACCGCCGAAATCGGACGATAAAAATGGACGTTCGACAAGTGATAATTATGATACTTTACCAATAGGAGATTACAGAAGCAATAATTATATTAGACAGGAAATCATATATTTATTCTATTAATATTTATTTTCTTTTTACAACATACAAATTAAAATAATAGAACTTTCACTAAATGTGATTAATAACCCCCCGCAAGACTGCTTCGGAAATGCGGAAGTTACTAGTTATAGAATACCTTGCAAAAGAACTAAAATAGAGTTATGGTTGTGGACAATTAAACATAGATGTGGTTTTTGTATCTTGCATTTCTTTTCAATGTGGTTAACCATTGATAAAGTTATATTGAATAACTCTGCAATAAGTACAAAAAGAGTTACACTTCTTGAGCACTGCACTTCCTCTTATTGCGTTTGACCATTAAATGAAGTTTCATTGAATTCTAAACATTAGTTTTTAAAGTTATGCACCTGACAATGAAAAGAAACAAAGGGAATAACCCTACAAATACTGAAGATGGCGTTATGATTATTGTACAATGCACTTCCTCTAATTGCGCTAAACCGTTGTATGAAGTTGTTTTGAATTCCAACTACTAGTTTTCAAGTTACACTGGACAAAAAATGTATCAAAGGGCAATAACTGTAATTAGTCCAAATAGAGTTATGGTTCTTCTGCACTGCTCTTCACCTCACTGCCCTTGATCATTGTATGAAGTTTATTTGAATTCCAATCATTAGTTTTCAAGTAATGCACTGGACAATAAAAATAAACAAAGGGCAAAAGCTCTTAAATAAGTCACGAAAGAGTTATGGTTCAAGTGCACTGCGCTTTCTCAAAATATATACGTGACCATTGTATCATTAAATTGTATTGAATTCCAACTAGTAGTTTTCAAGTTATGCTCTGGACAAGAAAAAAGCAATAGAAAAAAAACAAAGGGCATTAACTATATAATTTCTCTGGACAGAGTTATGGTTCTTGTGCACTGCACTTCCTCTTATTGTGCTTATCCATTGTATGATGTTGTTTTGAATTCCAACCAGTGCTTCACAAGTTATGCTCCGGACAAGGAAAAGTATCAAAGGGCAATAACTAATTTGTCAAAATGGTGTTATTGTTCATTTACACTGCTCTTCCTATGTGCTTGACTATTCTATGAAATTGTATTGAATTATGCCGACAAGTAATTTTTAAGGACAAGGAAAAGTAACAAAGGGCAATAAATCTGTAATTAGTGAAGATGGAGTTATGGTTCTTGTGCATTGCAATTTCTCTCAATGTGCTTGACCATTGTATGAAGTTATACTGAATTCCAATTATAAGTCTTCAAGTTACGGTCCGGACAAAAGAAAGCAATTGAAAAGTAACAAAGAGCAATAACTCTGTAATTACTTTAGATAGAGTTATGATTCTTGTGCAATGCACTTTCCTTTATTGTGCTTGACCATTGTATGAAGTTGTTTTGATTCCAACCAGTAGTTTTCAAGTTATGCTCCGGAAAAGTACGAGTAGTTTTCAAGTTATGCTCAGGACAAGGAAAAGTAACAAAGGGCAATAACTCTGTAAATAGTGGAGATGGAGTTATGGTTCTTATGCACTGCATTTTCTCTCAATGTGCTTGACCATTGTATGAAGTTGTATTGAATTCCAACAATTAGTCTCCAAGTTATGCTCCGGACAAGGAAAACGCAACGGACGGCTGGACCAACCGACCGACCGACCAACCAAACAACCACTGAGCGACTCCTTTATACCCCCAAACTTTGTTTCGGGGTATAATAACAAAATATATTTGTAAAACATGTATTGGCCCTATCGGCATCGAATTAGTTATGAGGTCAGGTTATTATGCTAGTGACTAAAAAATCAATAGGGGTTATCTACTGGTCACGAATATTCACAAGGTATTTTGACCATAAAGGTTGCGTGAAGCAATTTTATGACAAAGTTCTCACAAATCGTACCAAATACTATATATATACATTTTATGAATCATATAGGCCTCTATAATGACAGCCATTTGTAGTTTAACACAGATCAATGTGGCATTGACCTTTGACCCCTAGACTCCAAAATCAATAGAGTTCATCTACTGGTCATGTTCATTGATCATACCACGTTTGAAGTTCCTAGGCCTAATCATTCTAGTTATTGATCGTAAACCATTTTGTCTACCGACCGACCCACCAACCAAAAGACAGACAAATGCAAATCAATATTACCCAATTTCTTTGAAGGGGGCATAATATCTTGTTCTGGGCATTTGAAAATAACATTTTACACAATGAAAACAATTACAAATGTACATCTATTTTTTTAATGTCAATTTAACACCCATGTATTAATTAAAAGAAGTACTTAATATTTCACTACTGAACCAAAATGAGCACAGTAGTTAACTTATAGGCAGAGTCAATTATACCTTTGAAAAAAGTATGATTTATAAGAAATTAATGATAATAACAAACATAAGTAAACATTAATACACTATTCTATTGTTCAGCCATATTGATCTGGCACTCTTGTATTTGACACTATAGTCGGTAAATTCCGTTGATGATACGATCTACTTGTAAAACGATATGAATATACATGTTATATATAACAAGTTGTGATATAATCTAAATAACGAATGCTCTTAGCGCAGTCAATAAGGTCTTTGACTTAAATAGTATAGACGTTAACTCGTATGTTCGAATCCTGGTTCAGTCATATTTATTTATTTATTCATCGACTGCTACAGATATCAAAACTTATTACAAGAGCGAACAGTAATCACATGTGTCGCCTCATGATGGCCAATTTCATGTTGGGACAAATTTTGTGACAGACGGACAGTGCACAACTAGACTTGGTACTGATCATTCCTGTAAAGTTTGGATATAATTGCACCAGCAGTTTATGAGGAGTAGTCCGGACAAGCTTTTGCGTATCTGGCAACACACAGAAAAAAACACCATTTTATCAAAGGGCCATAACTCGGCTAAAAATCATCCAACCAAAAAGACCCGTGCAATATTCGCAAGGACTTGAGCTACAGATCAATCCTGTAAGGTTTCATTGAAATTGCATTAGTGGTATAAGAGAAGTAGTCCGGACAAACTTTAAAAATATAAATTATTAAAGGGCGAAAACTCTGACAAAAATCATTGAACCGGAAAATGCTAACAAATGCACAACTAGACTCGGTACTGATCATTCCTGTAAAGTTTGGATGAAATTGCACCAGTAGTTTATAAGCAGTAGTCCGGACAAGCTTTTGTGTATCTGGCAACACACAGAAAAAAACACCTTTTTATCAAAGGGCCATAACTCGGCTAAAAATCATTCAACCAAAAAACCCGTGCAATATGCGCAAGGACTTGAGCTACAGATCAATCCTGTAAAGTTTCATTGAAATTGCATTAGTGGTATAAGATAAGTAGTCCGGACAAACCTTAAAATTAAAAATTATTAAATCTGACTCTGACTCTGACAAAAATCATTGAACCGGAAAATGCTGACAATATGCACAATAAGACTTGGTACTGATCATTCCTGTAAAATTTGGATGAAATTGCACCAGTAGTTTATGAGCAGTAGTCTGGACAAGTTTTGTGACGGACGGACGGACAGACGGACAGACAGACAGACGGACAGACAGACGACGGAGAAGTGATCCCTATATGTCGCCACTACTCTGTAGAGGCGACACAATAAACCGAGTTATGACTCGAACAGTGACACGGAAACCACCAGAATGAGCAGTATGATTGAAACTGCCGGTTGTCAATTCATTGATTTGTATTATAAACGCGCTGTTCTTTTAAGTAAAGATATTCTTTTGAAATGATAAAATATAATATAATGTTAATAATCAAGTGTTTCATAATGGCCTTGTTATTGGGTTGAAGCCTCACGCTAATTTGACAGTCTTCAGCCCAATAACAAGGCCATTACGGAAACACTTAATTTATTTTTTAACCACACATTATCTAAAAGGTTAAGTATTTTGTGAAGAAAAAATAACATTGTTGTGAGGTATTGCAAATGAGATTCTTATTTAAAAAAGTCTCGGAAACCTACCTTGCAGCAATTCAAAATGGTGACTTTTTCCAATGAAAGAAGAAGCAGATTTATAATGCCCGAGCTGAATAGCCAATAAAAATTCACCAATCTCATAATGGCAGAGTTTTCTCATAAAGGCCATACTTATTGCATAATGGCCTTGTTTTAAGTTCATAATGTTGTAGTGAACTTCATATTAGCCTTAATTTGAAAACGTGTCTAATATTGAAAAGTCAATTAATAATGTATGACAAGAGGGTCATGATGGCTCTGAATCGCTAACCAGAGCCAACTATTTTTGAGTGATTATAGAAATATTTTTTCGAATAAACATGTAAAACGACAAGTCTCAACTTCAACTTGCCTCTCTAGTTATAAAGTTTCCCGACACTGACTGATTTTCTCTTCTTCTTTATAGTCTTAATAGAAGGAACCAAGTTTGGAAATCATCCATCCATTAATTTGTGATAAAATTTGCTTATGACTGTCTTTCGGAATTTCGATCTTACTTTCTTTTATTTATCTTAAAAATTAGATAATTACATAATCTTAGTATTTAGATATACATGTATACTGTTTGTCAGGATGACACCACCGGTTAATATTAATTTAAGATAACATAGGTATACTAGTCACCTCAACCAGAGAGTTAACATTTCAGGTTGAATTATCTTATTCTCGAATAAAAATAGGAAAAATTGTAACATTAACTACATAGTGGAAAAAAGCAAAAGTTTGTTCTGATGAAATGAATTAAGTGAACAAGATAACTTCTTTTAATGAAACAATTTAGTGGAAAAGTGATATTGTATGAAATAGAGCAAAATTAATTTGAAGAAGTGATAACCAAGTTTGCAAAAAGTGATTCTGAATAGAAAT